GTTACATGCATCAAAACTTTATTGCTCAATGTCTTTCTCCCCTGAGTAATAAACCAATTGCAGATGTACAGCTATTGTCAAAGCAAAGACCCTCTGAATTAGGGTTTTTACAATAGTTATTGATTGCTTTTGATGAGGCCAAAAATGCTGTTTCAAAATGTAGGAATTTACTGGATGATTGCAGGTTCCAAAAAAACAAAAAATAAAAATAATTTCAGTGGTAGTTGGTGTCCCTATAGAACACACACTTCAGCTGTGAAGAATTCTCACCAGATGGCTTGGTCTCCACCCTGTCTGTTTTAGACACATACAGACAACCCAACCTTTTGAATTCAGAGGCTTCACAAAGAAGATGATCCCAATCTCAAACATAAGGGCTAATAAAGACCAGAGGTGCAGCTCAGGACATCGTCTGTTACAGGGCATGTGCCAGCCACTGAGAACTGCGGGACGGTGCAATGGCACCTTGCTTTGGTTGCTGCTCCCCTGTGCAGAACATTTTCTTTGGAATGTGTGGCATGTGTTGCCAGCCCAAATGCTGTGTGTAACATCAACAGATCCCCGGTTGTCAGCGAGTGGGATCAAATCTGGGACCTCTGGAGATAAATGCACGAGCCTCTACTGCATGAGCTAAAAGCCACGTGGCTCTTAGCTAAGGTTGTAGAGCAGACTCATTAATCTCTCTCTAAGTGGTATTGGTGCCACTAGAGAGGACAGAGTACCACACCCAGGAGGCATGTGGATTACATATGCACGATGGAAGTAATCTGGCTTGCACTTTGTATGGGGAGAAGCACCTCCCTATGTCCTTAAACACCAGAATTCAGCCTTAAACTGGTACACATTTAAAATAAACATTTGGAGATGACACCAAGCTTCTCAAGTAGTGTAAAGTAACACTGAGCTCAGTGGAACTATAGTGATTGATATCAGCTGAGGATCTGACCCAGTATGATTAAAATCAACCTATACACTGCTGTTTCTGTAACCCATGCCTGCTTGGTGTGTGCTCTGTGCTCCTCTAGTGGCACCTAGACCACTTAGGTAAGGCTGTAGCAGACTCACTGTAAGAGCCACGGGGCTCTTAGCTCATGAAGTAGAGGCTCTTGCATTTAGCTCCACAGGTCCCGGATTTGATCCCGCCTGCTGACGAACGGGATCTCTCAACATCACATTTCCTGAAGTTTATTTCCCGCACTGTCCTTTCTTGATAGTTACAATGGCACATCTATGGCAAGGTGAGATACCTGGGGTATGGGTCCTTGAAAGTTATCCCAGGCTGAGGCCTGGGATAACATAACTGAAGCCTTATTATGGAGAGAATAATAGAAATCAGAGGAAGAAGTAGGAGATCAGTTTGATCCCTTTGATATTCCATGGCTGTCTCAGAGCAATGGGGTGTCCATTTGGGACTACTATGCAGTGTAACAGATCTTTGGAGAAGTATTTTCCTGTTATTCATTCTGAATTTTTCTTGACCCTGATTACTCCTAGCTTATAATAAATTCACTGAACAAATTCTCTCACTTTTTGGTGTTAACCATCAACAAATATATGATCGGTGTGATCATATACCTTCTGCCCCTTTTCATGGATTAGTCAAGCTATACCTATATATTATATTTCACCATTCCTAGTCCTTCCATGCTCCCTTGCACATTGGCTCCCAGTCCCCAGCCCTCCTCCTCTCAGTTTGCCTACTGCCATTTCCAGGCGCCTTATTCAGCTAGTCTCAGTATCCTGGCTCCCACTCTCATTCTTCTCTCATAGGCTCCTTATCCTGTATCGACTGCCCAGCTCTTGTGCTCCCTACATTTCAGGCAGGCTACTCCCTCCTCCTCCTCCTCCTCACTGCCTGGACACCAGCAGAAGAAACACTGAGAACGCAGGAGACAGTTCAGGGAAATTCTTTCCCAGTTCTTATAGCCTTGGTCCGTAGCATGCTCAGTGCAGACAGAATCTTTAGTTCAGTGGGTTTCAACCTTTTTTTCATTTGTGGAAACTTAAAAAAATTCAAATGGAGGTGCAGACCCCTTTGGAAATCTTAGACGTAGTCTGCAGACCCCCAGGGTTCCACAGACCACAGGTTGAAAATCCTGCTTTAGTATATGTTGCTGCCAAACTCTAATACATCTCTACTGCAAACTGCATTTTTTCAGAGGCTCAAAACTTGACTACAGTGCAGTTTTGTTTTGTTTTCAAGAGAATAGCAAAACGCACATCCATGACACCAGGACATCCCCTCTCCACCCCGCCAAATGTCAAGTCTCCATTCCAAAACACAGAAGCACAAGAGTTTCTCATCAAAATGGTTGTACGTAATTTTTTAACATAAGGCAAAACAACATTTTTTGCTAATCCCATGCTCAGAAATGGCTGAAACATTTTTACTGAAACTTTCTAGAAAAATGCAGTCTGACACAGACACCTAACATGGGAAATTTCAGAGTGAATGATTATAGGTTTATAAGCAATTGAAAACAGGATCGTCCAACTGGAAGGTCAAGTAACCTTAAAAACAGATGGTGCTACCACCTTCATCTATAACAGGGGTCCCCAACCCGGTGCCCGCAGGTGCCATGGCGCCCGCCGGGGTGTCTAAGTGTGCCCGCGTACTGGCCGGCGGATGAGCATCCGCTGAAATGCCGCCGACAAGCAGCGTCATCCAGTGGCGTCGCTGCTGAAATGCCACCGATTTTCAATGTCATTTTGGTGGCGACGCCTCTGGATGACACTGCTTGTCAGCAGCATTTCAGCGGCAATGCCTATTGATGTTGCCGCTTGTTGGCGGCATTTCGGCGGATGCTCGTCTGCCGCCACAGTCCTCCATGGCTCGTCGTCTGGCACCTGCCAGACCAAAAAGGTTGGGGACTACTGATCTATAATATAACCTCTAGCATGTATTAAAAGACTATACAGTAAAACAACCTTTTTCTAATGCACCTCTAATTACAGTGTTACATCCTGGAAAGGAAAGAAGAAAATTGTTGAAGGCTCCATGTGTCCCAATGAAGTCAACAAAACATAAACAATTTAAAACAAATAATCCCAGTTGAGTCAGATGATAATGTATGGAATAAAGAGCAAGTACCTTCAGGGAAGAGTCTCATTTACAATTCCCAACACTTGTTTTGTTTTCTGATGAAAAGCATGTTGTAAATTCCTTTGCTCTAAAAATTAACCTTGTGGGGAAAAAAAATAAAAACCACAGGATGCTGTAATTTACAAAGAGATTTATGAATTCTTTAGTTGCATAAGAATAAAACATGAAAGCATTAGCTAATGGTCAAGAAATACAGACAAAACCAAAAATGCTACATAAAAATATAACAATAAAAAATTCACATTAAGTTATTTATTAAACAATGAAAAAAACCCAACACTTTTCTTTACATCATGTCTCCCATCAATTTTGATGTGGGACACAAAAGAGTTAAATGGAGTTTTGAGGGCAGTAAGGATTGAAAGTGGATGGGAGGGAAGAGGCACCTGATTTGATTGATGGTTTTAAACAACAGCTACAAATCTTGGAAGGGAAAGGGGATTCATTCAGCTCAGCAACGCTTTGCAACTTTGCTAATAAAGCATGTAAACTTCAGTTACTATAAAAATTGCTGTTGCATAAATACTAATGGCCTGATCCAAAGCTCACTGAAATCAATGAAAAGCCTCCCACTGACTTCAGCAGACTATGGATCAGACACCAAGTCAACATTTTGTGCCCACCAACGCTGTGGGATGGAGATCAGGCATTAGAAGCTGGTCCTGCTGACACAGCTGTCATTGAAGTCTTTCCATTGACATCAGTGAAAGCTGGATCAGGTCTTTCATGAGCAGGGAGCCTAGTTTTCCATGATAAATATAAACCAAAATTCTCCAATAAAAAAAAAATCATAAAAAATCTTCATTTTCCTGTAATTAAAATGAAATACTGAACTTTAGTTTCCCTACCCACAATATAGACAGATATCAGGTGAACACAATGTTTTATTGATATATTTGCAATTTTTAAGATGACAACCCAAGCTCCACCACCCAGGGCTGATGACCTGAGCCCCACCCATTCTCCTAATTATCTGAATTTTTGGTTATTAGCTCGGACAATTAAGTTAGATCGAACAATTAAGGTTCCACTGTATACGTTGTTTTTTTTCCACAAAATATAAAAACTAAAGATCTGTGTAAAAACACAAACTCTGCATTTTTCCACAGCAAATGGGTTTCTAGGATCCCTGCTCAAAAAAATAAAACAAGGGCCTTTATTTAGCTATTCCCTTTCTAGGGCTCCATCTTGCACAGTGGTGGACATGAGGTGGCAGAGCCTGCCAAATGCTGAATGCCTGCTCTGACATTCTAAGCACCCCTCCTCTCCAACCAATTGCAATGGGAACTGAGGATACTCAGCACTTCACAGGAGGCTCTAAGCACCTTACAAGATGCAGCCCCCAGAAGAGCTACTGCAGACTGCTCGGTTCAGCGCTTTTAACAGAAGAAATATTTTTTCTAGTCAGGGGAGGCCAAGAACCTCAGCGTGTGGATTAAGGGGTCAGCAACACTGAATTTCAGGAATAGCTAGTCCCCCTGTTGGGTCATGTTTGCCCGTGTAGAAAGGGGATTGGGTACAGTACTATGCAGGGGCTGTCCAAGCGTCCGCATGACATGCAAGAGGTACTCTTCTCTGCTCCGAGCACATCAGGATCAAGCTTTGTAAGAAAACTAGCTTGGGCACTCCTGTCATTATTAAAGGGTTCGATCTTGCTCAGGCAAAAGGCCCATTGACTTCAATGAGAGCTTTGCCTGAGTCACAACTGCAAGACGGCGCCCACAGGACTAATACTAAAAGGCAATGTTTCCTTAAAAAACAAAAAACAAAAAAATCCCTTCTTGTTGGACCTGGGAGTTCAGTTTAAAAGCCATATATGTCAAGTGAACTTTTTTTCCTTTAAAGCCTCTAATAGTAATAGTTCAAACACACTTTAGAAATCTCAAGAGTATTTAAAAAAAAAATCGAAAATCTTTATAAAAAGTATCTGTTTAACAGAAATCTAAATTAATGCTCTATGCCTAAGAAGAAAGAATTGTGCCTGAAGTGAGCAGAATGATCCATCATCAGCAGTTATCACTTGTCCACCACATGAAAACACATTGCACCTCTGTTTATATACACCTGCTGACTGCCTGGTCACATTTGTAGGTACAGCCAACCAGGGTTTATCAAGAGCATTTGAAAGCCTTTTGTACAGACAAAAAAAATTCACACAACCCTGAGGTCATGGAGAACATAATGAAATGCAAATGCCTAAATATTCAGAGTCAGATGGGATTTACCATACAATTCCAATTAATTTCGAGAGGAAGTGAGGGGAGGGGAAGGGGAGAAAAAATCTTGTATAACAACTCCAAAAAATATGGGAAAAGATAGTGTTCTTTATAAAGCATGTTTTGAGGAAGAAACTATGTATTTTTTTTAAAAAAGCGGGGGGAGACAACATCCAAGAAGATTTCCATGCTATAAAACCCTCTCTCTCTTTCTGATTACCTTGCAGAATTATGTTTCTAGTACTGAAAAATCTGAAGAATCAGAACAAAAGTAGGTCTCCTACCAGGAGAAATGTATTCAAAATCTCCAACAACTGTGTCTGCTGTGTAACTAAGGGCCATATTGTACCATCAGTTTTTAAGCTGGAAACGCCCTTATTAAAACTATTGGGGAGTTCTGCTTCAAAACTAATGGACAAAACAGAGTCTCAGGAATGGTTCAATCTGGTTGACAGGTCCTGTTCCTACTGTGAGAGTGGTCTAGTTTACTTTGCAGGCGGTAGGATCAGACCCCAGATAACTCAGTAGGTAGAAACCTCTACAAAAAGAGTTAAGTACTTTATAATAAAAATTTGATTGTTTGTAATCAAAATCATTTCGGCATCTCCTCATGGAAATAGTAACAAAGTATATTATGTTAGTACAGGCCCTCACAAAATAAATCTTCCATTTTCCCTGGAGGGCAGTAGAATTTAACATATATGCAATGAGATGATTCCTTTTGCAGTGTATTAAGACTTGTGGACTGATTGAGCCCTGTTTTTACAGACCTTTTCTCTTATGCCCCAAAAGCAGTCAGTCAGAACCTTTCCCTTTTATTTTCACTGCCATCAGTACTCTCAAACTGAAATGTTGCGAGTACAGAATCTGTTCCTTCAGGAATGGATATCAACCCAACATCTGCTTCTCATAAGCCCTTTTTCTTTTCTTTTCTTTTTTTTTTTTTTTTTGGTGGAGTAAATCTGCTGACTTCAACTGTAAAGGTTTGTCATGTGGAAGATTTGTTCCTGTCCTTCAAGTTTTAGAATATACGAGCAACCACATTACTACAGCTTTGGTTTCATTTTTTTTTCAGCTAATTTCTTAGCAAAGGTCAGTTTAGTTGCTAGTGAAATCAAATTTAACAGGGAGAAAAATGTAATAAACCTTTAAGTCAATTGATTGGATGCATTAACGGTTACACCAGTAGCGCGTTTTTATTGGCACTCTGTCTACCTGACCCTGCAGAGCGGCAGAAGTACTTTAGACTTATTCTCAGGTTTAGCCAGTGGGAACAGCCCTTATGGTGGAAGCAGGAGATGATAGGATCTTCACTCATTCACATCTCATTTAAAAACAACACTAATTGAGATTTGAACAGAAACTTTGGACCTTGCCATACTGTCTTTTTAGTCATTGGGAGTTCAATGGGAACAGGAACAGGTCCTTCCATGCTCTGTTGTTGCAAAGCAGAGAGCAATCAATTGGCCACTATTACTAGAAACAGGTGAGCCAATTCAGATACAATAAGAACTGACCAAAATTCAAAAAGGAACTTTTTTTTTTGGTTTGTTTTTAGTTCAAAAGGTTTGGTTAGAACCTTTCCCTTGCAGGCCTAGCCAAATCTACGAAAAACTGTTTTTCACCATTTCCAGCAAAGCCAAACCCAGGACTTTCTGGCACTGTCACAAAGGAGTCTGATCTTGCAGTATTCCTTGAACTACAATTTTCCTATAAGTAGCCAAACTTTTAGAAGCTTATGCTAGCTTCCTATCCTTGAGGTTTTCCCGTTGCTAACTAACCCGTTGAGCAACAAAGAAACCAGCTCCCCCAGGAGAGCAGCACTGCTATGAGAATATAGTGGGAGTGAAGTTCAGTATCAGGAAAAAAATGTTAATGATTAAGGGAGATAGTAGGAAGGAGTTAAGGATGTTGTAATTGGGGCTCAGATCTTTAGGCATTGCAATGCCTAACTACCATTAAAAAATTGGGCCTAATGCCCCAAATCAGCAAAACGTGTGCTTTCGCATTAAGGGCTTAATTCTGAGATTCTGAGTGCCTCCATTTCCAGCTAGCTTCCATGGGAGTGGAAAATGCTCAGCACCTCAGAGCACCAGGTCCTAAGAGCGTAGAGGAAGGTTATCTCATCAAGATATAGAACTGAACTTCAGAAGGTTGAGCACATACAGCTCCCATTCACTTCACTTGGAGTTGTGGGTCCTCTGCACTTGTAAACCCCACATTTAAGATGTTCACTGCCCTGAAGACAAGTCAGCCTCTCTCTCAGTACTGATCACACATAGATTATTTTTGTTCATCTTTTGAATGTTTTGGCTGGGAATGGTGGTAGCAAAAATAGAATACATGATAGGAATATTTTGAAAAATGAGAGAAAGCTTAAATATATATGGTAAAAACTGAATGGAGCAAAGAGGCAACATTTCCAAACAATTACTACATTACCAACTTCAGCCCTCATCCTGCAGTTAGCACTACACAGGCAGACTCCTGACCCTATAAAAACCCCACTGAAGTCAAGGGAGCTCTGTGCATAGCTCCACCTTCACCAAGCTAATTGCAGGATTGTTTTTTTGTTTTTTGTTTTTTTAAATATGCAATGCTACAGCCCTTATTCATGGAATTAGTCCTTACTCACACTGGCTTCCAAAGAACATCTCGTGTGGGAGGGGGAGGGGCTTCTGGATCAGGTCCAATCCAGCAATCCTCTTGCAAACTTCTGTGGTTAAAATTATCAAAAAGTTATCTCAGAGTGGATTCTTAAATGGATAGCCCAAGGCTAAAAATTCACAACTGCCCATGAAGTCCATAGGAGCTGCAGGCGATCAGATTCAGTCCCTAACATGTCTAAGGTTGGGCAACCAAACAATGAGGGACCAGAGATCGGAGGCCAACTTTTGAAAACTTCAGCCCAAGTTGAATTCAATAGGAGCTGAAGGCACTCAAGCAACTCATACAAGCTATTCAGCAAATTGCAAGATCTGGCCTTATGAAAACACTTTGTTTCCACGAGTTGTAGCTTTTTGCAAAACCTGTATTTTATCCTTGAATGTTCACGTGAAAAAAAAAATCACTCTTCAAATGGCCTAAACTAAAACTCCTGCCTCCCAAAATTATTGGAAATGAAAATACCAATTTGTGGATGGTTATCACAGAAAGAGGGCCTGATCCAGAGTCCATGGATGTCAATGAGAGATTTTCCATTCACTTCGATGGAAACTGGGTCAGGCCCAGGCTCATTTTCTCCTTTAAGTCCATATAAATATTTGGTCCATTTTGAAAGAATGAATGGGTTGAGAATATAGATCCTATAATAAAGGCAGACTTTGCCCCATGCTAAAGGTTTCACACATTTCTTCTCATAGTCAGCACAGCACAAAGCCATTTTCAGAAGCAAGAAAAAGAAAATATAGACACCATTTCTACAATTAGGCAGGAAAAATATTTAGTAGAAATGTTAAGAGTAAACTATAGCTGTTTAAGCTAGAATAAAGGACGAAAATGCAAAATCTTGCAAAACGGAAACAATGAAGGATTGGACTAGCAAAGGGTTTGCTCTTTAAAAAAAGACAATTGAGGTAACAAAACAAACACACAAATACAAACATCTAAAAATAAGCATTTTATACATTTTTTGCCAGTGCTTCTCTGAGAGCAAGTTCTTTAAACAGAACTTAACAATTTAACAATTTTTTTAAAAAAATATGGCATCCTAAAATAGTCCACCAATTCTTACCCAAACTTTCTGTATTTCTACAAAAATAGACACACAAAGAGCTACAAAAACTCTATTCCTGCAAGGATGAGCACTGTAGTCAAGGCACAGTCTTTTCCCTACAATCAAGGCTGTGCACAAAAAAACCCACCAGAATGAACAAAACAAAACACTGTTAAAGGAGCAAAACGGAGTTAGGTTGCACAGCTGCAGCAGGCTCAGATGAGGAAAGAAAGAAAAACAAGTTTTTTTTCTTCTATGTTCTGGGACCCAGAAGTGGCCTGCCAAAGAAAAGGCTCAATAGCAAAACCAGAATGACTGGCTCTTCATCTTCTCCTTAGCGGTGTGTCCTCTGCCCCCATGCAGAAACAGTCAACAGTTTCAATATCATCATCCCAGCTGTGGGGACACTAGCTGGTGCTAAGATGCATCTGATCTTCAGAACCAAGAAGATTCCTTGCTCTTGTCCTGATGCTGTAGACCTAGTTTTAGGGAAGCAAAAAAAAGAATTAAAATTTGATAAAACATTCCCTTCACTCCAAGAAAGTGAGCTGGGGTAAATATATTTATCAAAATCCTGTATTAATAGTCCATCTATACTACAACTGTCTAGGAGGGACTTGCTTACAACACTGCTGTCCCCCCAGGATAAGAAAGTATCCCTAAACTGCACTAAAACCTTAGACATGCTTGCATACTTCAGTAATGCTGATAGTTTACACTGAGCAAAACTGTATCATGTTTTAACTTCATTGGGAGTGTAATCAATGTAATCTGACAGTGTTGTATTTGTAGTATAGATGGGTTTTCATGGAGCAGAACCAGTTTTCTCACAGAATTAGATCCTGGTTCTACTAGAACTTTACCTCTTTTCTAGAAAGCCTGATACATTTTAACATTTTAGGATCTCAGAGCTATCTGCAGTTTTTCACCTTGAATAGGGGGTGGCAGGGGTGGGGGGAATTCCCACAGCAGGTGAAAATATCAAGCAATTTTACCTAGAGCACATCAGATTTTTCACCAAGAATTGCTTGCGCTTTCACACAGGGAAAATAAATGACTTTCAGCTTGAGTTTGGTATGAGTTTCTCTGCTATTTTCCTTTATAAACGTCAAGGACCAGCCAATAAATGTGCTGTGCAGGGGCTTTCATGTTATAGCAGTGGAATCTGTGCTGTAATTTGGAATTTATCTAGTCCAGAGGGATTTACTCTTTGCGAGAGTTACATCAGGAGAGAGCTAGCACTTAGAAACAGACAATACAAAGTGTAGAAAAAATACATACAAAAAAAAACATACTTGCTAGTTTAGTTATAGCAAAAAATACAAGCTAAGCACTTTGATGTCCTATTACTTTAAGCAAAGAGAGAGACAAGTTGGGGGAGGTAATATCTTTTACTGGACCAACTTCTGTTGGTGAAAGAGAAAAGCTTTTGAGCTCCACAGAGCTCTTCTTCAGTCTGGGAAAGTGCTCAGAGTGTCACAGATAAATACAAGGTGATACAAATACAAGATATTAAAATATCTTTCCCACTATAGCCATAAGATGATAGTTATCACCATGAGAAATATTCAGCAGCATTTCTGCTCTATATTGAGCTATAAATAGTATTGTCTTCCTATTTAGTACATGAATAGTGCCACTAACTCATCTGTTTGACTTATAAATCTTGGGCATGGAACAGTTTATACGCCTTTTCTTCATTATTTCCCCACCTCTTTTACTGGAAGACAATCTGCAGTTCTACCAGCATGCTGTCCCGATCTAGCCAAGTTTCTGAACAACAGTGCTTTATCTGACAATAGGCTGATTGAGCAAACATTTTTCCTTTTTATAAAAATGTCTTTGCTTCTCTTGCATGACTCAGTATTTCCACATTTGCAGAGAAGAGTCTATCTGCGAAACGCTGGTACTGTGACTAATTACTGCTTGTATTAAAAAATCAGGTCATTTAGAAGAAGTCTAACCCAGCTAGTGAAATTCAAAGACAAAGGGTCAAATTTATGGCAGGTGTAAATGGAGTCAACTCTCCTGAAGACCATAGGCTGTGCTCACTTAAGCATGCATTGAATTTGCCACAGTGGCTCCTATATATTTCCAAAAGGAGGGCTGCATAGGCAGCGGGACAAGGAGATGGAAGACTACATTTGATTTGCTTAAATTGTATCTTATTCATTTGATCCTCACCTTTAATATTGAAATATAGACCTCAAATACTCTAAAATCCTCTGTTACGTAGGTGCAGGAAATCTCTTCTTCTACTCCCAGAACATCTGTACAGCAACAGCGCTTCTAGCACATTCTTAAGGGGTAAATAATCCTGTTCCCATCCCCCCTGGGACTACCAATGGTTCTGGAGGCAGCAGAATGAGTATGGGTCCATTGTACAGGTGGGTGGATGGCCAGGATGAAGGATGCCTACACTCCCTGCGTGCTGTACAGCACTGTTCTGCCACAGGCATGCTATATCCCAGTGCATGGGTGGAGGTGAGGAGTGGATTCTGAGGGTGGGGTTGGTTGGACCACAAGTTCCAGCAGCCATTCCCCAGGACTGGGAAGCAAAGCAGTCACAGCTTACTGCAAAGTTGTGACAGCTGTGGAGCAGCTTTGTAGTCTGAGGGGTAGGGTGGGGATTCCCCCTTATCCTGGGACCATGCTTTAGTGCACAGCCAAGTTGCTGGACCTGCACGTAGACAAAGGGATTTAATCCAAGCAAAAGTCTCAAGGGTGCCCGCTAGGGGTCATGGCCTAATCAATGGCCTCTCTTTACATAGGCAGTGATCTGCAGCAAGTGCTGGCAGGCTATTCTGTTACACCCTGATCTAAAGCTTATTGAAGTCAATGGAACAGAGACTCAGGACCAGTTGCACATAACGCACCGTAACAGTTGCGAGTCAGTTTCCTCCAAATTCTATGTCTTGGGCTCTCGAAACTTCGGTAGGGCACTATTCACCGAAGGCCAGCAGTTTATAATGTATTAAGAGATTTTGATTAAAAAAATTGTTTAAGAAAAAACCCACAGTGCTAAAGTGGAAGTTTATAGGCGTGTTAATTTTCAGCACAACATGTGGGGATTAAACTACATTTAATGGGAGTGAGGTACCTAATGCCCCCCTGCACCCCCCACATCACACTAAAACTGAATCCATGAAAGTGTAAGAAGATGTGCAAAACAGAGATCAGTACTTTACTGAATCATTGATCATGGAGCTAACAATGTTCTGAATCACAAATTCCCTGGGTGTTGATAATATACAAAGAAATCCCCTCTTCATGACGTTAGTCACTGAAGTTTTTTGGCATCATCTACTCATGAGACCACAGATCTGACTCAGAACAGCAGAATTGCAGCAGTGTTGCTGGTATTGGTAAGACTACAGGCTGGTCTCCTCTTGTGATCGAAACACCCTCATTCAACATAATTCAGCATGAAGAATTTTGCAAAATATTTTTTTATAATCACATGTGACAGCAGCAAAAGAAGTGTGGCCCACAGTAATTATTAGGAAAAGGAGAACTGCCTAAATTGCATGCCTGTAAAATATATGACAAATGATTTTTATATTAATAATTTAAAGCTCATGGGATGTGATACTTGACCACTATAGAGGTAGATGTCCTTCTTTTCACCAAAGAGGTACAAGCAATGACAGCTAGAGTTCAAGTTCTCCTGCCAATATGCCTCTATCCTGTTCTGGATGGACCATCTCTCTGAAAGAGGTTAGTTCATTCTCCACGGCCATTGAGTTCTTTGCCTCTCTGCTGATACTGCCAGCATGTTTGCCAATTAATGCCAAATGTCATTATTCTTACCCTTATCCACTTAGAATCAATTTTCAGGTAGGCCCCTGAAAAGTCGCCAATTGATATAAACTTTGTTGCTGCCAGCCTGAGCTAGATGTGAACCACTGATTTAGAATTGAAAGGCTCCATATGCCATTACTATTCTCCTGGGCAGCCCACTCCCCTTCCCATGCAGGATAAAAAGTAAGGTAGTTATAGTCAACCCACAGCCTTAGAATGACATAGCCTTGGGGCTGTGTAAGAGGCTCTGGGGGACTGCATGCACGTGATTAAAGCTCCTTTGCTCTGCTTGATCTCATGCAGAATGCCAGTCACAAGAGCATTCCACCATTCCACCCAACTCAGGCAAAATGTAATACAACGTTAAACTGAGCCATGAGCCATTACTCTGTGTTGCCCAGCCCTGCCCCCCGACTCCCTGTTTATAAAGGCTTATACACAGTGCTTAATTTGTGCCAGGGCTTGCCAGCGCTCAGCCCTGGAACCTGTAGGCTTGGCAATTCATAGCCCCGGCACCTCTGGGCTTTCTGCATCAGTTATGAAAATAATTAAATAATTGCTTGAGCCCCGGAACCTCTTTCATTACAAATTAAGCACTGGCTATACACCAAACTGGGGACATTCCAGTGAGTTTGCATGATTGTGTTTACAGCACATGACTTTCTGACTAGTAAGAGGTAAGTAAAACATCTGTCAGTTTGAATCCTGATGTTTCTGGCCCGGTTAAACCAGTAAGGAGGTGCCAAGCTCTGTGACCTACGTTGAACAGTTAGCACTCTGTTCTCAAAGAAAAGAGTGAAAGCAATTGGTAGGTTAAAACTACAAGTTTAAAATGAAAATACATAAATAAATAAAAACCAAGTAGTTGGTAAATCAGCTTCCCACCAGTTTGCATTGAACACAAACAAGTCCGGACCTATGGAGTAATCCACACCATGATAAAAAAAGTGGTTTTCCTGATCTATGCTTCTTTAAATAACTCCCTATATCATCCTCAGAAAGTTGAGTCAACTGCCTGACTTCATGACTGTTGGAATTGCTATCATGCTGAATCAGCCCACTAGTCTATCATTGGCAATGGCAATTTGCTGATGCTTCAGAAGGAGGTAAAACCCCCTCATTAATGTAACTTGCCTAAAACCACGTCATATGAGGAGGAAAACATTTGTTCCCAATCCTGGCAGATTATCAGTTTACAATGTGAAACATAATTACCTTTGTATCATCTGCACTGCTGCAGATGTTACTAATGTCCATAAAATTGTCCAGTACTTTAAAGAATCCTGTTATGCTATTTTTCTTAATTTCTTGAGGCAACAAATACATAAGAATGGCCTTACTGGATCAGACCAAAGGTCCATCTAGCCCAGTATCCTGTCTTCCGACTGTGACCAATGTCAGTGCTTCAGAGGGAATGAACAGAACAGGTAACACTGCTCTACAGCCAAAATGCTTCTGAAATAAATGTAGTCAAACTTTACTAATTCTGGGTCACTGAGAACGAAAATGATGCTTAAAATTGTTGATTGGCTCTAGTTTTCAAGATATGCTATTGGCTCAGTATATACGACCCTTGACTTGGGAATGGCGGAGGATAAGTGAGTTATAAAGGGAAGGGATCTCAACTTAAACCAGAAATGACTAAAATACATCTTTGACTGGATCTATGAATAAATCTATGACTGGGTTTGGACAGTACTTGCTTTTTAGGCAAAACAATGAATGATGCAATCTGAAGTTGGTATTGCGTCATCCATGATATGAATTGCATCATGTTATTCCTAGAAGTCATGGATGATGCAATCATAACGAAGGTTACATCACTCTGCTGAACAAATTGCCCTATATCAGCACTAGAAATCATACAGTGTCGTGCTCTCTTATTTGTCC